ACCAAAAAAGTAACTTGTAACTTCGTTACAATTAACGAGTTACTTCCATTCCTTGAATATGATCATAATTCTTTATTTTAATTTATTTACGGAAAGAAGGAACAGACAAGTGTCTAGCGAAATGAAAATTGTAACGTGTCTCTGTGCTATGAAAGACTTATAGTCTTTTTCTTTGATGGTAAAGAATTACAATAGCTTCTTCAATGTTTTATCCCCTTATTTTATATATTACGTTATCACCTTCGTCATTCTGATGGCGATCCCCTCTTCTCACAAGCTATCAATCCAATGTCAAACTTCAGCAAACTATTTTAGTAGCGGGCCGAGGGAGCGAACACATCACCCTCGAACGACGACCAGCGACAGTCGATAATCTAGCCGAAGGTAAAACAGGAGGGAGCAGATCCTGCTCTTTTGGTTTTCCTTTAACCGACCGCGAGTCAACCGGCGAGCTTGCACTCCTTTATTACAATTTACCAAATGCTTGCAGCTTTTCTTGTTATCATGAGCTTTCGAGATCTAATGTACTACTTAAATTGTGTCCAATTGAGCTTTCATAGGCCTATTTCTACTACTCACTATTTATATTACTATTACTATTTATACTGTTACTATTATTACTTACTACCTGTACCATTTTGATTTACAATATGCCAGCATTTAAATTTCATCGTTTGAAAAATTTTAAAGAAATATTACTATTGTATTTTATATATTTACTTCTGCCGTACAATTATCAGATGAGCACTGTGTAGCCTCGATCAGCCATTCTATACTCGCAAATCTAAGAACATTTAGATGCATACATTTAGATATCTTCAATAACTTTATATGAAGCAATGCGGTTTCGATAATATTATATTTGCACAATTCGACCCTTATTTATTGAAGTATTAAATTTATCTCAGGGAAAATTTTTCTCGGAATTTTTATATGATTTTGATTTTTTATAAACACTGAAAAAGTTGATTTTTTTTCTTAAAATTTTTGTATTTTAATTTTGAAGTATATTAAGATTTCTTATTCTATAATTTCTAAAAAACTTTTCTTTAAACTTTTTCAAATTTTGTAAGATTATGTCAAAAATCATAGAATAAATTTTAGAATATTATAGAGAATTGATATATGTAAAAAATTTATTTATGTAAAGATAAACTTTCTTGATACTTCCAGAAAAAAATGCTAAGGTTGTCACAACCAGAAATAATGATAATTTTCATCCATCAATATATTTGATTAAAATAATTATAAGATAGACATATCTTAACAAATACAGTCGTTAAGATATATCAATCTTATGGTTATCGCAATCATATAACTTGGTTCTTATAACCAAGGAATTGTATTGATGCGACTTTTGATCGTAGCAACTGTAGTTTTTTCTGTGTCGAAAGAAAAGTGTTCCAATTTATATTAAAAAATTGAGAAATTGTTTCTAAAAAACAATCATCACACATAACAAAATTATCCAGAAATTGAAAAAAATTATATATAAATTAATAATTATATATAAAAATTTTGAAAAAAAAAATTTTTAAGGAAAATTTTTGGAGTAACTGAGGAAACATTATCTCACGAAAAATCTTTCTCTTGAGGTGCCCCTAATATATATTTTATCTAGATAAAAGAATAGGAGAGACCGAGGGAAGGCTGGTTGTCAGTTTTTGATTAGTGATTTTTAAAAAAATTGGCTGATTGAGAATCAAGTTTCTACGCTTTTCTTTACAACGAGACAAGAATGATTAAGCATTCATGGCTTTTTCAAAACACCTATACAAACATCATATTCGGGTATTCGCTCAGAGTATACAATTATGTATACCTATTGATCGCAGAGCCATGAACTACATCTAATTGGAGTCGCAATCAACAACAATTGCCATATATCATTGTATAAATCATCAGCAAGACGATCTTCTCATTATACAAGATATTTGAAAAATAATGATAAATCTTTTGCATAGGGGCAGAATGAACTAAACTGAGAAGAAAAGTCCTCTACCATTTTGCAATAATTAACAAGATATTAATGCTAAAAATTGCCGAAAATTGGTCTTTAATAATTTTTTACTTAAATACATCAACTTTATAGAAAAATTACAAGACGAAATTGTTTCTTTTCTTCTCATAAAACTCTAAGAATTTGTTGATAATATTTGAGTAAAAAATTATTGAAAACCAATTTTTGGCAATTTTTAGCAATTAATCTTGTTAACTATTGCGAAAATTGCAAAATGATAGAAGACTTATCTTCTGAGTTTAGTCTATTCTGCCCAAAAATTAAATCAATATTATTTAATTAATTAATATTAATATTAGTTTTTATTATTTATACTTATATATAATA